AATAAAGCCGTCAAAACTAATATAATCCTAATGTCCTGGAAACAGTTAATGCATCGAATAGCTGTTCATGAAACAGTCTTCGATTCTCATGTAGACAGAATAGAAGAGTCAAGATTTCTACGTCAAGTCTTATTTAGCGAGCTTATTTCAGGGAATAGACCACGTGATTGCCCTCTTCGAATATACAAGGATCAACACTGAAAGCCACTGGACTTGAGCCTAAATTGTTTGAAACACAAGCACATGACTGTATCAACTGGCAACGTTCCCTCACCATTGGAACCAAAAATTTCGAAGCCATCGGAATAGAAAAAGAAGTCAAACGACGAGAGACAAAGGCTCAACAAAATCGACCTAGTCGTCTACCAACATTACCATGCAGTCAGTCCTATCTGCTCTTCCATGCAAGAATTGGTCTACTTAGTCATCAATGCCATCGTCATAAAGGAAGCGACCAGAAAAGAAGAAAGTAAATTCTGGGATGCGAGATAAAGCCGCCGCCGACGATGACGAATGATAAAGGTTTGGAGCGTGAAAAAAAAAATGGACATATGATTTGCAAAGGTTAATTTCCCTTTCTGTCTGGCAACAAACGCTGGATAATAGGAAAAGTATATAAACCGAAATGTGCGGTTCTTTAAAGTCATTTTTAATTATTTCCTAATAAATGTAGTCGTTTAAATGGACAAACAATTCTGATTTGAAATTTGATCATCTTGCCGTAAATAAAGCGACAAGTACCGAACTAATACACGTAATTCTTTTTTTTTTATCTACGGTCCTTCAGCATGTGGGTGATCACGGATCTCCACAACTTCCTATCCTTTGTAACTCTCCGTAAGATTCGTCTTTTCATCATCCACCCTGCTCTGCGTTCCATTTAATCATGCGTGTTATGACAATTACTCGCTCTTTCCTTCTGATTTTCTTGCATTATTTCCTATGAGTGTCAGATTCTCCAAGCCCGCTTTCCTCATTATATGTCTTAGAAATTTCAACTCTTTCTGATCCTAGGCAAAAGTGTCCTTCTCAGTCCTATTTTCCTTTAAACTTCCTCTTTAGTCACACATTCAATCCATGATATTCTCAACATCCTTCTGTAGAACCACATTTATGATTCTTCATCCAAACCATTTACTGTCATATAGGAAGACCGATATTACATAACGTTTCAGCAGTCTTTTCTTTGTTTCTATCGAAATTTTCCTATTTCTTAGTACTTTGCTTAGCTTTTGGAAGCCATCTTTCACTATCCCAACGTGCCTTCGGATTTCGGTGTCATATTTTCTATCTCCTGCTAAAACACTTTCCGGATATTTAAAATTCTGTATTTGCTTGATTTTTTGTGTCTCCAATTCGTTATCATGGAGCGAGCGTGTGAGCAACAATGAGTTCTTGGAGAGGATGCAGACAAAGAGAAAGCTTCTACTTAACATAATAAAGAGGGAGATGAAATTTCTGGGACACGTAATGAGAAAGGAGGGCTTGGAGAATCTGATACTCACAGGTCGAATAGAAGGAAAAAGAGACAAGGGAAAGCAACGCATGACATACCTGGCGGGCTTAAGCAAGTGGATGACAGAACAGGGTCTAAGGGAGGTGGAAGAGGGACGATACTTATTGAGAGCCACAAGGGATAGGGGGAAGTGGAGAGCCATGATCACCTACGTCCTGCAAAGACACGGCACATAAAAAGAAAACGAATTCGCATCGTTGGCTTCTATATTTAAAGGAAGATGTTGGTGGGGTAAGGGTTAAAGTCACGGAAATGGACGCGTCGTTTGGAAACTTTTAACTCCGTATATAAAGATTTTTTTACGGCTTATCAACCCTTTGCAGGTTATTCAAATCAGAAAATACTTTTAGATTGTAAGATTTTTTTTTTTTTGAAGATAATTATGATTTCATTTAATTAACCAATAGCTGGGTGTAGAAGAGGTGGATATATACCTTCCCTAATGATATTTGAGCGTAAATGAATATAACGAACTTGACTGGAATTAGAATTCGGCTCTAAGAATTCCAATTCTGAACCCCTATCCATTGCACATCCAATTCTTAGAACACCTGGCATTACCATGCATCCAATTCTTAGAACACCTGGCATTACCATGTGGTCACCCATTTGAGTACTGACCATACTCGACGTTACTTAACTTCGGTGATCGTACAGGAAACGATGTTGCAATGTCATATAGTTGTAAGCCTATGTTTATGAAGAACCAAGCCATTAGATTTTTTTTTTTTACTAAAGTTGGCCCAATAAACCGACCAAGAGCCACTCGAGGCAGAGAATGAAGGAATGAGATGTGTGATATGAACATTACTGACAACCACGCATTCTATCTTCTTACAATTGATGTTTCATCCTTTCTTCTCTCTTTCCTTTCCTACTTTCTCTCGGGGTTCCTGAAGTTTCTTTTCTTTGTTTACTGTCAACACCGTGTCACCTGCATGTCTTATTTTGTTAAGATTGTATCCACCAATACAAATAATTACTAGTGTTTATATATGTCAAGCACTGATATCGTTCGCTGAGAGATGTCGTTCGGGTTTTGCACAATAATAAATTGTATGTAACAAATGATTCTTAATAGACAAAACATTGCAGCCACGGGACTCGAAAGTTAGTGAAGAAACCCCGTCATCGACCTATTTTGTAATTGTTGATATTTTCGGAGATCAGCAAAATGAGTGAAGATTAAATAATTGTAATTTAAATTCTTTATTCAATGCGTTCTTTTACTTGTATTTTTAATTCCTTGTTTGTTTAATTTAATGATATAGAATTAGAAAGAACATACTGTTCGCAAAATAATTGTCCCTTGTTATCTCTATGAAGAAGGTAATTAAAATTTATGTCAGGTCATTCTACGAGTGCTTCTCGTACCATGTAACCAAGTACTACCTTCCACATAGGCGGATCTTCAGCGTCTTAACCGGTTACCCCAGCAGACTTTTCTGGCGAGACACCCAATTTAAAGAAAGCAAACATTGTCAAAAGGCGGAGCACAGTGGAGGTAGACTATGCTCTACCGTACAGCTAGTACAAGGAAAGCACAGCATCGCCGGACAGGGGTGGGGTGATACGTAGGCTGAACTCAATAGCCAGGGCGGAGGGTGTTCCTCCGATGGAATCAACGACCAAGTGTTCTACAACGTTGGCTAGGGTTTGACCTGGTGAGAGATGGACTTCGTCGGGTCTACTTGAAACAAGTCACTCCACTATTCAACACAAATCTGTGAAGGGAACTGGTCAGATGCCCAGCTGCGCAGTGATCACAGTCGGTCACTCGGGACTGATGATGATGATGATGATGATGATGATGATGATGATGATGATGGTTATCATCGTGATGATGATAAATGTATTCAGTTATATAATATGCATAAATGAATGCATATACAAAACCATGAAATTTTTTTTTATTTTTATTTATGTATTTTTACAAAGAGGGAACAATGAGTACTTGAGTTGATGGGCGCACAATATATATATATATATATATATATATATATATATATATATATATATATATATATATATATATATATATATATATTCTGTTTATACGTTATTTTTATAGATGCAATTATTAAAGTAAATGCTCTGTTTATAATAAAGATTATTAATTACATTTACCGGCCTGAATGTCCGAGAAATTTCGTAGAAAATATGTGTCCTCGGACACGAATCGAACCTGAACCTTAGGTTTATACCTCGCCTAATTCGCAGGGCATCCCGAAGGGCTATTTAGCAATTGCGTTTGTGCATCAAAAGGCTAGCGTTCTTTGCACATTTTCACAACGTTGAATTTTCTTAAAATTATTATGTTTTTGTCACTTGAGATTTAATCATATTTATAATCTGCTGAAGGCTGAGGAAGATTGTGTTGCGCCAATGCTCGAATTATAGAAATCCTTCGGTAAACTTGTTACTTGAGTTCGAACACCGATCACGGATGCAAGTGAGAAATGCGTAGTCACTTCGGCCACAAATGAAGAGATAAGTAGCGTAATAGTTAAAGGTACAGAAAACATTAATCGTCATTTGGACACCTTCAATTCTGTATATGTATATGTATATGTATACGGAAAAAACAAACAAAAATCCTTATATACAATTATGCTGTTTTAATGTTAATATGTCAACGTCGGACGTTTCGGTCAAATAAACCATCTTCAGGACATATTCATAAAATATAATTAACATTATCAATTCAACATGACAAAGACGATGTACATAAGAACAAGACTTATCCAAACAGAATAACTGAAAGTTTTATAAGATCAGCGCTCCGTTTAAAACATGGTCATGTTGTCATCACGTGGGCGACGCTGTGAAAACGTATTACTAAAATTTGAGTATTTTGAATGAAAAATGAAAAGAATTCTATTTTGATCTAAAATTTATATGTACGCTTGTCGAGCATTAATCTCGCTAGAAAAGGGGAAATACTAAAGAAGCCAGGTCTAGTATTCACCGTGCGTGAGACGGATATTATGCCTGATCCGTCTCACGCACGGTGAATACTAGATCAACAATTTGGTAGATAGATTGGATTATATTATCGACAATAAAAAATATTATCTTCATTAAATATATTAGTTAACACCAAAAAATCAGTGTGTTGCTGCTAAACGAAAATTCAATCTAAGTTATTAAATAAAAGTATTATGGCGTTAAATACGTATTTTTCTCATATTCCTTACTCTTTTGATCTTACTCCATCTGACTATCATTTTCTTTCATCACATTCTTTCTTTGATATCGGTTCTTATATTTGTTTCCATTGTCATCACTGTGATTTCCTATTTAACCGTTAGGAGACGACAGGGCCGATCTATCAGCCGAAAAGTAGAATGACGAAGACGACAGGGCCGATCCTTTAGCCCGCAATACAAGCCATTAGATTAGCTGACTGGTCTTCGTACCAGCCAATCAGATTTCTTTTCTCATTTCTTGCACATCCGGGTCTTTAAATGGCGTTTTCTATGACAATTTGCTGTGTTCTTTGGTTTCATCTCGATCTTTTCGTGTACGTTCCAAATGTGAGCGCTGAAACACCAAATGAGGTTCCGTCTCCAAAACGTTAAAACAGTGGCCTCCAAAGTTGCCATTGAGACATTTCAGAGAATCTAACTTCACTAGAGGATTGGCTGAGGATTGATTGACGGTTTGAGATTGAATGCAAAAATCGTGTAATCCAAGAAATAAAAATGTCAATTTTTATCTTAGTTGCAGTAAATGTTGAGCAAAAGAAGTTAAGTAAGAGCATTATGGTTAATTAAGCTCCAAACCCACCAATTTATCAACGAATTATAACGATCTTCCCAACCACATTCCTATCATTAAGAGATGTCAAAAGAACACTAAGCTTATTTTAATTTAGTGATTTATTGTCAGGAATATTTCGAGAAATCTTTCATCTCTTTTATCATTGTTCATTTGCTAAAAAGCTACTGAACATTTTATAGTTCTCATCTATTTTTATAGTAGTTTTTCTCCCTCCCTGCCGCTGCTATTTCTCACTTAGTGCTAAAGTTCATGAGAGTCTACCAATAAGTACGTAGCCTCACAGTTAACTGTATAATGTTCTTAAATGTCCAGTGTATTAGTTTAGAAAGAAAGATCTGACGCATTTGAGGGATGAAAACTGATTCTTTGGTCTTAATTGATATCAACTTAATACTTCTCATTAGTGATAACATAATTCTATCTATCTTAAAAAAAACGAGATCCAGATGGAGCCAAGTCAGGAATGTAAGGCGGATAAGGTAAAACTTATATAAAACTCATCCTTATATTTAAAGGAAGATGTCGATGGTGTAATTGTTAAAGACGCGGAAAATGAACTTGTCTTTTGGAAACTTTTAACTCTGTATACGTATATAAAAATTTTGATTGATTGATTTGTTTTTTACAGCTTATCGACCCTTTATTCAAAGCCAGAAAATATTTTTAGATTGTAAGAATTTTTTGATGATAATAATAATTCGAGAAATCTAAGTAAAAAAATATCCTCTAGAAGGGATCGAACCTACGTCCCTTCTTATATAAAATGGACAACCGCTTAACCCTGGATGCTTTACCGCTCGGCCACAAGGCGATCTTATGGCCATTTCACAAAAATTATTTTTCTCGATATCTTCGTATCAAATTATTTTCTTGCTTAGTTTCGTATCGGAAACATAAACAAAGCGATTTTACAGAATTAATGGATTTATTTTTTAATCTGACATTTTAAAAACAATGATTAAATACAATATTTCTTGGAATATTTTAACCCTTCGGCATTTTCAACATTTTAAACACTTGGCGATTTTCACTATGAAAGATCATACGTATAAATATCTTTTACTTAAGAAACAGGAAATATTGATATTTTTTTCTCAAAAGAAATATATTGTTTTTTGTTCTTTTTTAAATATTTTTGTATAGTCAAAAGAATACATTTTAGAGACAAATCACACGCAAAAGCGTGTGTTAATCACACTCTCATCTGTGATAATATTATAGCAAGACATTATTTTTTTAATTATGGAAAAAAGTTTTCACCATAGAAACAATTATCAACTTTTCCCCACTTATAAAGCAAATGCTTAATCTTTTATAATGGCTGGGGCACCTTCAATGAAAGATTACCTCGAATTTTTTATTTATTTTTTATTTTTTTAATACTGCGACCCGCCTTATGATGAGTCATATTTCATGCAGCCCATTGCACAAAAAAGGTTGCGCATGCGTGGTTTAACATAAGTGCATTGACAAGAGAAGAGTTTCTCATGGAAAGATATTTCTTGTATAAAATAAATGTTTTTTTAGCATTAGGCTACGGAATTACTGATATTACTTACGTAGTCAAGTGATAGATTGCTTTATAATAAGAGTGGCGTCAGTTTCGAACTGAAGAAAATTAATCGTGCTGTTTTGACGTCTTTTCATTACAGAAGCCCTCGTCATTCAAAAGGTTCTGCATGTAGCGAAATGTGTAGCAATAAGAGACAGTAATATAGGTGTGTTGGTGGGTGCAGCAAAACTAACCACTTCAGCTGCAACAGTTTTTCACGCACGAAAAATTGTTGCACTAGGATTTTGCACTTTTCTGAGCGTAAGCAAAGGTTACGTTTTAGGTAAGGTTTTCGCTTATCAGTATATCAACCTTTTCCAGGTTATGTAATGCCAAATTCTGACGTCTTAATAGATATGGAGACAGAGTTTTAAGAGTCAAAAAGTTAGACATAGTTTTGATTTGCAGAAGATTCAAAAGACAGATTAACTTGGATAGTAATTAGATTAGTAATCATCATGTAATATCAGCCATCTTATATTTCAGTGGATTTTGTACAATTTCCTCACAGATCAAGAGAAGACATGAGGCAACAGAGACGTAGTTCTAAGAGAATTGTGCTGAAAATGACATGGGTAAAGCATATTAATAATGGAGAAGTTTTAAGGAAAATCAAAGCAAAAAAAGGACACATAACCAAACTCAGAAAAAGAAAGCTGACATTTATGGACACATCATGAAGAAGGAGATCTTGGAGAATTTGGCACTCAGAGGATATTTCGAATGTAAAAGGAACAGGCAGCGAGCCAACCACCTGATATGTTTGTGTGCATGGATAGGGGAAACACGGGGTGGGAGATATAGCAAAATTAAAACAGAAAGAATAGGAAGTTGTGGAGAGCCGTGATCGCCTACGTACAGATGGGATACAGCATATTGAAGAAGGATACTGCAAATCAATAACATTATTCGGACTATTGTCCTCATCTTTGTCGCCATGCTTATCACGTTTATTGTGATAAACATGGCGACAAAGATGAGGACAATAGACCGAATAATGTAAATAGTGTACATAATACCTCATCTCAGAAATATAGACAGATACTGAAGGATCAGTAGGGACCCGAACACCGAAAATATGGAGACAAATTGAAAAATCCTACCAGAAACTGGCACGAATATCAAACCATTTGTGATAAACATGGCGACAAAGATGAGGACAATAGTACGACTAATGTAAATATTATACATAATACCTCATCTCAGAAATATAAACAGTTAATGAATCAATAACATCTATCAAATACGTGGAATTACTAGAATTTTACAAAGTCAATACATCGAGTTATGAGAACGCATTTCTGTTGACAGTAGATATGATGTGCACAAGTGTCAAAAATGTTGATATGGGTTTGCTTTTCTCGAAGGGCAGAAATATTGAGATAAGTATTGTAAACCGGCGTCCATTTTTTGGTGGATGTTAACCCTCTACACGGCGACACCTTTAGCAAATTCTTGAGCCAAACCGACAGGTTGTTAATCAACGGTTACATCAGTGATATACGCAGATTCATACAGTACCCTTTGGTAGTGATCGTCTTATTCGGATCAAGTAGTTCCTTGTAAACAACGCTTTGTCCAATAGCGCATAACACTTTTGTGATACAAATCAAGCTTTCCCTTGGCTAGGACATCAGTATTCTTGTATATCAAGTTTTGTTTGTACGCTGTGTTGACATAAAATTCACTAATTTTAGTATCTTTTGTGCTAGTGTTCAATTATATACGTTTGTGGCTGAGTGACCTCAAAGCTGTGTATACGCTCAAATTTTGATCCATCAATGAATGCTGTATTTAATTTTCAACTTTAAAGACTTTGATTGTTGTTAAATAACACAGAGATATACGTGGTTAAATTATTCTGTTATGAGTCGATGTTGTTACGAAGTAAATGGTTAAGAAATAACAAAACAGGAGGTTGCAGATAAATCGTGTATTGAACAGTAAATACAACAGAAGAGTATTACCCGACTTTGGAGTGTGTGTCGGTTGACCAACATTCAATCTATACGACTGTTATATTTACCAGCATCCCCGCGAGGTAGGATGTGGCACAAGGCCGAGTTTAATGTGGGGCAACCAGAGCCCATAGGCTCGGCCAAAAGTTCACCATAGAGCCCGTATAAAACGGGGTCGGTTAGCATTTTCCCGAGACGAAACTCTGCCGTTCGACATAGTCTCGTCTGGAGGCAGAGAGTTTGACCAGCACAGCTGAAACAGATGTATTTGACTGTTTATATTTAACAGCCCACCTCCCACAGCGAGGTTTACCGTGGGTTCTCTGAGCGGGTTCAGGGTCTGTCTACCTCCTCGGACGAAACTTTGCCCCTCGGCAAAGCCTCGTCCGGATTCTTCTCTGCTCAAGTCAGAGAGTTCGAGAGTAACGAACAATTTGTTCGACTGTTATATTTAACAGTCCCCCCTACACCCACGAGGGATGTATGTGGCACAAGTCCGAGTTTACTGTGGGTTCTCCGAGCACGTACCCTCAGCCAAAAAATATTCCCTTAGAACCCGCATAAACGTGTTCAGAGTCTGTTTTCCTCCCCGGGCGAGATTCCGGGTTCATCTCTGCCTCTTTGACAGCACAGTCCGAATAGATCTGTTCGACTGTTAATATTTAACACCCTCCACGAGGGATGGATGTGGCACAAGGTCGAGCTTACCGTGGGTTCTCCGAGCCCGTTGGCTCGGTCAAAAATATTCCCTTAGAACCCGTATAAACGGGTTCAGGGACTGCCTACCTCCCTGGTCGAAACTCTGACCTTCAGCAAAGCGTCGTCCCCGTTCCTCTCTGCCAAAGACAGAGTTCGACAGCAAAGTCCGAGGCTTTTTCGACTGTTCCCCAAGGCTTACTATCCTACTATTTTTATAGTAAGCTGAAGTGTCCACAATAGACTCATTAGAAATAGGACTCCACAGTAGTCGATTGATCCTTTGTGTATCACAACCTACAACGTAAAGGAATTCGTCTTGATCCGATTCTAGAATACGCAACCACGTCGAGACTTGTAGGGACATCGTGAACCAATCATGATCTGTCATTGCTTTTTAAGAGTAGCTTAGTTTGTTACAAGGTCACAAGCATGGATAAAGATCGGACTTCTTTTATGTGCCATGTCCCTTCAGAACTTGGGTGATCATGGGTCTCCACAATTTCCAATCCTTCATAACTCTCAACAATGTCTATTCGTCTATTTATTTTTTATGTTTTTTACTATTCCTTCACATAGCTCTTCTGTTCTCTAAACCTATGCTGGAGGCATTATATAGTTTACTTTGGTATAAGGCCACAAATACAGGACACCCAGTGAGCATCGAGTTTACTACTCTGCAGTGATCGTCAATTAGATTAGCTTCTGAACCATTATCCATCCCAAGTCTCCTTATTTTTAAGTTCAAGTTTGTTACACGACCGGAAGAACTAGTGATGATCTCATTATTCTGTAGTAATGGCCAACCAGATTATCTCGCTAACCAGATGGTCGGACTCGAAATTAATATCCATACATAACTTTTGTTCTAAGTGTGGTTGTTCTGCAATGACCCTCAATATGTACTGGGCTAATTCCAGGTGATACCAAAATGGACCTTGCACCCAGTGTTGTACCAGAACATCAGAGACGCCAATGTTGACCTGGCATTTTAATTAAGCCTATGTCTCTGTGATACACGGCCATAAGTAAGGGGCACTTATTTAGGATCAAATTATACACTACTCATGGTTAACTAGATTAGTTCGCTAACTATTGCCCATCAAAAATCACCTTATTTATTAAGCTATGTTTGGCACGATGCTACAATTATAGGGAAGATCGAACTCACTACTCAGTAGTAACGATGAACCTATAGTTGGTTAAGTGTAACCGAGTTTGGCTGAGGGCCACAAATAAAGTTGCACCCAGTGAGGACCGAACTCACTTTTAACACTATCGTTCTACAGACTAATATGAACACGACACTAAATATCCCATACATAAAATTGTTGTTTATTTACTTCCGGGCCTCATCGGCGTGTGGGTGTGTGGCGTTGAAGGTTTTCTTCGAATGTGGATTCTTTATCTCTCGAAGATATCAGAGACTTTCATCCTCTTCTCTCTCAGGTGGGGTGCTTATAGATCCACTTGTCATCCGGTTATCCCCCTATGTGCTCATCCTAACCGCAGCTGGGTCAACCATCTGATTACATGACATGAGTAAAGTCACAGATCTGCACCTGGTGCCTAGAAGGTTACCTTTCCAGGTCAACCTTGGCTTCTCTGGTGTTCTGGTACAACACTGGGTGCAACGTCCATTTTGGTATCACCTGGGATTAGCCCAGTATATATTGAGGGTCATTTCAGCACAATCACCCTTAGAACAAAAGTTATGTATGGATATTAATTTCGAGTCCGACCATCTGGTATATTCCTGTCGTTAATCACATGCTATATATTAATCAATAGTAACGGTCAACCACATTAGCTCGTTGACCATTACCCGACGTTCCACGTCGAGGTGTTCAACTGTTCATCTGTTGTGTGACTGATACTCCTTTATTCAATATTTTGGAATCACACAGCAGACGCGTTTTCAATTGCTCGCGGGAGAACCTGCATTCTGATATTGTAAACATTATATTGTGTATAAACCGGATTATTATGAAGACCTTAGCTGAAAAAGGTTCATGGGAAACGTTTGCCAAAGAACAAAACACATGTAATGTCACCTTGTCTCGCCTAAGATATGCCCAATTGAAACTCCGATTATGACATATGGGGACGTTCTGATGGACGACCTATACAGATAGGTAGATGTATATTCATCCTCAAAACACTAAAATATTTCTAAAATATAAATCCAAGTTACTTATTTAAATATTGGTTAGCAACAAATATGCTTTTCGGGATTACTTTAATTTCTTTTTTATTACTTTATTTTCAAGTTGTATTGATCATAGCGTAATACATGTGTGTACATGACTATAACGTACGAAGCTCAAAGGATAATAAAAACGAAATTGTGAAGCAGACAATAATTAATGTTGAGGTGACGTTAGCCATAACCCATGGGGTCTATAATTGATTCTTGTATTAATAATTAAGTCTAAAATGACTCTTCATTGCCTCTAATTAGAAGTTGCTTGACCAGTCCTTATTACACATCAACTGGTATAAAATGTCCGGAATTCGAATAAATACATTTTCTAGATAGTAAAGTGGATTGCTGATTGAATTAGTGGCATTCCACATAGTAAAAACCTATTGCAAAAAACAAAATACTAATACGAGGAGGTGCTGAAACCTTCCAGGCTCTAGTCACTTTACAAAAGCAGTATTTCAATGATCAAACATACAGATTTTGGGAATAAGGTCGAAAACCTTTCCGCATCCGTTCGTACAACTTAGGTCCCATGAATATTGGTACGGTTGCTAGTGACTGAGAAATGAAATCGACAAATCGATTTCAAATTCTGATTGCGACTAACTGCGCTACTTATCTCTTGAAAAGGGCATGAACCCTTTTATTTGAACTATTTTGTATCATTGTGATTGTAGCCTTGCGCACATACATTTGATGGTAGACAGGATTGATAGATAGATAGATAGATAGATAGATAGATAGATAGATAGATAGATAGATAGATAGATAGATAGATTTAATAGATATATATATATTTATATATATATATATATATATATATATATATATATATATATATATAGATAGATAGATAGATAGATAGATAGATAGGTTTAACAGAGATAGATATATTTAACAGATAGATAGATTTAACAGATAGATTTATTTAACAGAGATAGATAGATAGATAGATAGATAGATAGATAGATAGATAGATAGATAGATCAATTGATTTAACAGAGATAGATAGATAGATAGATAGATAGATAGATTTAACATAGATTGATAGATAGATAGATAGATATTTAGATTTAATATATATATATATATATATATATATATATATATATATATATATATATATATATAGATAGATAGATAGATAGGTTTAACAGAGATAGATATATTTAACAGATAGATAGATTTAACAGATAGATAGATTTAACAGAGATAGATAGATAGATAGATAGATAGATAGATAGATAGATAGATAGATAGATAGATAGATCAATTGATTTAACAGAGATAGATAGATAGATAGATAGATAGATAGATAGATAGATAGATAGTATTAAAAGTATATGCTGTAAACGAAATGGTACAATGAAATCGAAAAAAAGACTTTAAAAATGCGTGACTAGCAATGAACGTACAGACATGAAGTAACAACTGATCGAATAGGAAATTGTCTTTATGCAAAGTCGGTCGTGCTGAGGTTCTGTCGGCTTTCAATCGATGAAACTGCGCAGGGATCTGTACAATTCATTTCGTTAATTCCCACCACAAAGACCCAGTAAGAAATTAGCCAATGGAATCAATTACTGACGCTTAACTCAATTTAGTCCCAATATTAAAATCCTAAAGTGCCCCCCCACTCCCCCAATTATTAAATGAATGAACGATTTTGTTTGATCAAAAGACGCATAATACACAAGTCCGGAAGCGGGGAGAAAAAAATGGACATTGAAGAGTGAAAAAAGTAAAAGAATTCGTAATGGTGAACAATCAAGGATTCATTTCTTAACATAGCTGACAGGGGAAGTTGCTCAGGGGCATGTGTGTAAAATTTTGAGTGAATTTGTCAAGTCTTCAAAATTAGTATCGTCGTAAGAATGAGTAGAGAGACAATTAAAAGACTAACAAATTTTATTTTTTTCAAAAACTGTTCTACTGACGTTCTTCCCTGATAGTTTAAGTTAGTAGTTTTACTAGGATCTGTAAGTGGGCATGAGTTAAGGTGCATTGAAATGGGGAAAAAACCTTCCAAAACTAAGTAAAACATTAAAAAACAGGAAAATGGCTGTTAACAAAATTGGGCAGTTCAAGATACGAGCTACCGGGTGAAAACGTCAGAAACGACCAAATACAGAAATTTAATCGGGGAAGTGGTTAACAGAGTACAGCAAGGGTCGGCAACCTACGCATCCGGCCCGGGAAGGCATTTTGACCGGCCCGCGAGCTTGATTACCAATGACTCTATTTTTAACATGAGAGACGACCTTCAAATGAAATTTGTTATATGTCATTTTCCATAGAATGTCTACACATCTCAGTGCACTAAAAATATTAGACTATTTGCCAGTTATCTTTCATGAGACTTATTTTACCAAGTTGCGTTGCCTACGTTTAATGTCAAATCATGGATACATATTTGTTATGACCCTTGGCTACATTAAAAGATAACAGAAGCGAAAGGAACGTTAAAGTGAAAGAGGCCAGGGAGGGACTGACATGCGAGGTAGCAGAAATCTAAAGACAGTTAAACATACGCGCTTTATACATACATGCCTCATGAATGTGTGGATGATACCGCATGTGTACGTACGTAAGTGTATATGTTTGCAACTATTTGTACTCGTGCTTCGTTTTTGTTTTGTGTGTGTGTGTGTGTGTGTGTGTGGTTCGTTTGTGGAACAATTTTCAATAACAGTTTCAAACCTACACGTCATAATTTCATCCATTTCACTTGGGTTGATTTTTTTCACTTTGAAGTATTTTGACGTTCCTTGAGAAAAAGTAATTTTTGTTAGGTGTTTTTTTTTTAATTTTAGATTTTCTTTTTTTTTTCTGATTTCTCAATGTTTATTTTCATTATGGTTTTAAATATTTAGGTTGACAGGGGGTCTGCATATGTAATTTTCCTTAATTTTTCATTAATGGCCTTCGTCCGGCCCGCGACCCGTCATTATAACACGATCCGGCCCGCGGGGTCGAATGAGTTGACGACCCCTGGAGTACAGAATATATGACACTAAGTAAAATATTAAGAAACAGGAAAATTTCATTAGAAATAAGGAAAACAGTACTGAAATGATGCGTTATATAAGTCCACCTCTATGGCAATGAATTCTGGACATATGCTTCTCACAGATTAAGAAGAAATTTAAAGATATGTTCTCCAGAATTATAATGAGAATGCTATGGACAGAACACGTGAGCGAGGTGGAAGTTTTAAGAGAAATAGTAACAAAAGGAACAGGGGACAGTTAAAAATTTCTTTGACACATAATGAGGAAAGAGGGTTTGGAGAATATGACACTCACATGACATGACAAATGGATAGAACGAGGACTAGGGATGACATTTAGGAACTAACACTGTGTGGAGCTACAAAAGATAGGAAGCTATGGAAATCCATGATTTCCAACATGTCGGCCAACATATGGACCATTCTGCAACCAGGAAATGTTTTAATATTTTAAGACGACACCACTATTTATGTGATATTCACATGTTTTTACATTTGTTAATCTTGTAGAGGCTATTGAGCATGAGTGTGTCTGCTACTTTCCACTTATAATGTGTATACAAAATTCCACTTTAGAGATAATGACGAATTACGTGACGGCACATAAAAGAAAATTCAATACCTCAGTGGAGCTCCCACGGCACTCAGATTTATTGGCAATAGCTTGTGGCAGGCAATCACTGATATAGACCTCTAATAGAAAATATACCTCAGAGCGAAGGGCAGCGCAAAATTCTTGACAAAATTATTCCATGAAGATTTACTAAGCGTAGCTTAAATGTGACACAAGGCCGAAAGAATGGGGCACCCAGTGCGGATCAAATTCACTACTCAGTCGTAAATGATCTAGCGAAACAAATTTGCGAACCATTAAACCGCGTCAAAATTCTCTGTGATTTTCTAAGCGTAGCTTAGTTGTAAGACAAGGCCGAAAATATGGGGCACCCAGTGCGGATCAAACTCAATACTCAGTCGTAAATGATATAGCGAAACAAGGTTGCTAACCATTACACCACGTCGAAGTGCTATGGGATTTTCTATGCGTAGCTTAGTTGTAAGACAAGGCCGAAAATATGGGGCACCCAGTGCGGATCAAACTCAATACTCAGTCGTAAATGATATAGCGAAACAAGGTTGCTAACCATTACACCACGTCGAAGTGCTATGGGATTTTCTATGCGTAGCTTAGTTGTAAAGACAAGGCCGAAAATATGGGGCGGGTGGTGTAACGGATAATGGTTGGAAATTGTTCATCGGAGAGCCGAGTTTCAATTCCCGTTGGTTTCGGTATATTTACTTATGCGAAAATATCCTTGGAAAAGATAATGAATCTACCTCTTTGCCCACCCCCACAGCCGTGGACTAATTAGTAAGACTTGTATCACCAAACTATTATAATCGCAAAACATCTTACAATCTAAAAGTATTTTCTGGCTTTAAATAACCTACAAAGGGTTGATAAATTGTAGAAAATGAATCAATCAATCAATTATATGTATATCGATTTGAATAACCAACATGGAATCCTGAACTGAAAAAAAAAGCGGTTTCCTTCTAAAAATACTAATTTTAAATTAGTCTGGAACACAAACGTATGTTAGGAAACACAGCCAGAATCGATCTCTCTCTAACAGCAATAATATACGAAGGACGCTTGTAAATCATTGCTCTAAAAAAAAAAATCTCCAGATTATTTACAAAACTTGAATTATCATATCGATTAAAAAAGAAAAACAGTCTCGCCCCACTTAGAATAAAAGGATCACTTTTAGGGGTCATTGATATTTACTAGGCGTAGCTTAATAATTAGCTCACAAAGCCACAAGAAGATTATGTGAGAGAGTAACGCTATAGGCCTGTATAAATTAGAGGTCGTGTTGTCGGCCAACATATGGACCATTCTGTCAGTGCAACCAGGAAATATTTTGATATTTTAAGACGACAACAACAGCTCTATTTATGTGATATTCACATGTTTTTACATTTGTTGCTCTCGTAGAGGCTATTAAGCATGAGTTTGTCTGCTACTTTCCACTTATAATGTGTACACAAAATTCCACTTTAGAGATAACGACGAATTACGTGACGAATAGATTTTTCTTTCAGACAGTTTACATTCTTTCGACTTTTAGATGCAATGATCCTGGGAAGTGAGTGTTCTAACAGTGAACGGAAAGTGCAATAGTGAAGACCGAAGGTTCACTGGGATATCGAAAGACGCCTTCCAAACGCTAAGCAAAATATTAAGAAACATGAAAATTTCTTTAGAAACAAAGAAAAGAGTATTCAACTGTTACGTGACACCAGTCTTCCTATATGGTAGTGAATACTGGACAATCTCCTCAAAGATGAAGAAGAGACTTGAAACAACAAAATGTCTACAGAAAGATACTAAGAATGTGAGCAAGGACAGAGTTTTAGAGAAAATGAAAACAAAAAAAAACTCTTATACTTAATATCAGATAAAGACTAGGGCATATAATGAGGAAAGAAGGCTTCGAAAATTTGATACTCACAGGACAGATTGAAGGCAAGAGAGACAGAGGGAAACTGCGTGAAATCTACCTAGCGAGCTTGTGTAAATGACTTAATTTATTAAGAACTTGAAAGGACAGGAAATTGTGGAGAGCCATGATTGCCAATGTCACACGGCACATAGAAGTCTCGAGGTGCCTGTCGCATACAAATGAATGTCACGCAAAACATGAAATATGTTAAAAGTGGAGTCCCCAGTGTTAAGTGCTTAAAAAATGTAGCCTTTTAGCAGGCAAGTTTAATATACAGCACCTTGTTTCTGTTTTCAGGATGCATTAGCTGTTTTTTCGTTACTTCTTCATTTCCAACACACACATATATATATATATATATATATATATATATATATATATATATATATATATATATATATATATATATATATATATATATATATATGTCAAAGTAAATATACCGATGCTAAATTTAATCATAAGCGCGGTTAGTTTAGGTTAGTTTGTTTAATTTAATGATATATCAAGTCATGGTGCATTAC